ACTTCCAGATGAATCTACGTCTTCACTTTTTCCCCTCTCACTGCTAGTATTCTCTCGAAGTAAGTTGCATTTGATCTTAAATTGTTGGGGGGTGGGGGAGGGGGGCTCTCATCCTGCTTTTTCCCATCATCATTTCAAGCTCTCCTGAATGCTTCCACTTCTAGTTCCTAGTAGCAACTAGAAGAATAGCCGTTTCATGACCACCTATAGAGCCCATCCACATTCGGATTTCCAAAGTAAACGCATCTTTTCTCCCGCATAGATTGCTTGAATGTCATGTCTCTGGATAAACCTATTTTTTTCCCTATGTTCAAGAAAGTATTCATGGGCTATCAAACTTCTATTTCGATTTTTACGCTCTGGATAGTGGTTTTCCTCAAATCCAAGAGTTCTTATCTGCAGGACAATCAAACCCTTTTTTCCCTTTTTTTATTCAGATGTTGCCACGACTCAAGACGCTCTTTCCTCTGAGCCGTCGTGGTGCTTCTACCGCTTCAGCAAAGATATCAGAAGCTTCCAAACAGTCTACCCCTCCACCTTCAGAATTTTCAGATACCGCCCCGCCTAGACGAAAATATCGGGATGAGATCTCAGTGTTGCGGGCCCTATCGAAATGCGTCAGACCCCACCTCGGCTTACCCGCCTACGGCTGTGCGATTGAGCCATGGCTGGGTGCTGGAGGTTCCAGGGAGAGATCGAATAAGTTGGCGAAGGCGGCAGGAAGGAATGCTGCTAGACACGTGGCACGAACCCTGCTGGCGAATGATCTCACTGCTTTGGTCACCGAGGCAAGTCAATATGTCAGACTCATTTCCATCAAGATTAATTATATGTTGCCGATGGACGATTTATATTCGATATAGTTCGCTAGCATGTCCTTTTTTATATTTGCCAGCTCATAGGTGGACGAAATTCTCAATTTTTCAGTTGTGCGATTAGTTTCAAGGTCTATGAATGGGGAGCTCTTGAGTTCATTATCGATTTCTCCTATCTAAATGCTCACTTCTTCAACCGACTACCTTGTACTCTTTTTCATAATGCAAGTATCACAGTCGTTTCCTGTGACTCATTTCTTTTTTTTGTATTTTTCGGTGAAGAGCGCAGAATTTGTGAAGTGAATTGTTTCTCTGCCAAACTTCTTCCTTCTTAATTGTAAATCGTTAAGTAACAGCCAATTCGCAATCGAATCTCCACGTCCTCAGAGTCTTTGCAAATCTTTTGAATAGATCTCCAATTGTTTATTCCTATTCCTTCATGTGCGCTGATGGACTACAAATTCGGATATCGCCAATATCACCTGGCGAAGGCGTAATTTGCACTTAATATGCGCGGCCGTGTGTTCTGTTCTACCTTTGACTCCTCCCTCCACCTCCCATACCTCTATTGGTGGAAGGTGTTCATATCCCACAAGTTGGAATGTTCAGTGTCATTGGTGGTGGTTGAATCAGATGGCATTCAAAATATTCACACTTTATTTAAAATGCCCATTTTTCGGCATCTCAGGTTGAGGGCGGAGGTAAGTGCAAATGAGGTCTTTTAACTGCAGCTTGCGCTACGCAGTTATTTCATGGCGTAAAAGTGGCTCGAGGCTGTGAAATTCCCATCGCGAATAGTGCAGTAGAGTATTACCTTGTTCTGATTCTGGGCCAACGAAATAATCTGCAAAGCTAACTGTGGAAGAGGTAGGTGGGGTGGGGTGGGGTGGGGTGGGGGG